AAAACATCTTTTTGTGAGATTCTTAGTGAGAAACAAATAAACAAACAAACAAACATGTACCATAGCTTAAAGAAAGGGTGAAGATTATGCGACCATGGCTTTCAACACATTCCCTCCCTATAGAATACTTTTTATTCTGATTTGATGAAAATAATAGAAAAGTCACTCTACAGCAAATTAAGAGGAGCATTGAACAGGCATGTATTAAGCTTTATCTCAAAGCCTTTTCAAAGAAGGTAAGAGGTCAAAGTTTCAGTTTACACTCTATACACAGATTTCAGGTAACTGTTTTTACTGATTATCTGTAAAAACATTTAAGGTAAGACAGCCCTCTAGGATCAAAGGATATCTATAAGGACAGAATGCACTGGAATCCTTTTTTAAAATCACATTTATAAATCTATTACATTATTTGTGTAGGTTGACTAACTTATATTTACTATATCAATTATTTAATTTTGGACAAATTTTTAAGTTTCACAGGTAAAATTAGACCAGAATTTTAATTTTGAACATATTACATGAATCTCTTTTCCCTAAGTTATAAACCTTTCCCCTGCTTTAGGGAACATAATTGCATAATTCAAACTCCTTCAATACTGTGACCTAGTTCCCTCTCTTGATGTTATAAACGGCTCATGTAACTATGGTAACCATCTAGGGAAAATTGAATGTTTTTCTGGTCAGCATTATGCAAAGTATACTATATGTGTTATTTTTTCTCTCTGTAATAACCAAGGGGATAATATGTTTGCTTTTTTTCCCTAGTTATGGGAATATTATATTTAATTATATCAAATTTCCTCCTGACAACAGTCCTAGTCATTCACAGTCCCTTCATTAAAATGTTTTAGGATCATTTTTGCAGTTAGTCATTATTCTAAATGCTGAACAGTACTATAACCCAAAGTAGTAGGATAAACTGTGTACACCAATTTTAAATCTTTGCCATTTATCACATAAAGTACACATATAGTTTGCCATTGCTTAGATTTCTAATATTCAATCTAGAGTATCTGAGATTTTCCTATGTGTCCTTTAGTCCTGGCCAAAGTATTTTCTTAAAGCAAAACACTGTTAAAATGGAATTACAGGGTTGGGGATTTAGCTCAGTGGTTCTGCCACCTGCCTCACAAGCCCCAGGTCCCAAGTTCGATGCCCAGTACCAAAAAAAAAAAAAATGGAATTACATCTTGGGTAGGAATGCTTAGACACTGAGAAGTTATCTACAACCTGTGGTGATTTTTATATATCTTTTTTATCTTTATTTTTAATTAACTAGTATGTATTAGCTATACTTATACAATAAAGCAATTAAAATGCTTTAAAAGTGAGCTCAGTAGAGATATAGACCATAGGTGGCAAATCTATGGCATGCATGTTACTGTGTTTTAAGACAAAAGATATTTTTTCAAGATAATTTAAAATCCTTCACTGGACCTTCTAGAACAAATTACATTCTAAATTAATACAAGTTCCTAGAATATTAAGGATTTATTTACATTAACAATTAAATTTCTACAGTAGGCTGTTGGTGACCTTTTAGTGAATTCATTTTTAATTTCTCCATATTTATAATAGTGCTTTTCAACAACCCAAATATTTTCCTTAGAAAAATATTTCTATTTCATTAAATTAAATGAGGAATAATTGCCTCTTACTGGTTTAGAAAACACCTCACTAAGCAAATGAAATGTGTGGCACTTGTCTGGATCCTGTTAAACCAAACGTAAAAAGATTAGTCTAAATAATAAATGACAGTAAGAAAATTATGGGAGGGTTGGGGATTTAGCTCAGTGGCACCGAGCCTGCCTTGCAAGCGCAGGGTCCTGAGTTCGATCCCCAGTATCGAAAAAAAAAAAGAAAGAAAGAAAGAAATCATAGGAATCGAACAATGATACTGTAGGTATTTTTTTAAAAAAATAATCAATGTTCTTTTCTTCTCAGTAGTCATTTAATTGATAATTTGGGGCCTCTTCAAACTGGGTTTCGTGATGCTTCTAAACGCAAAATATAATAACTCTGGTCTACAACATAGAAATTAACTGATAATATTTAATCCTGTGAATAAAGCAAAAAAGTATCTTATTTGTTCTTTTAATATATTTTCCATTCTGAAAGCAACCCTGAAAAAGATAAGTACTGATGTTCCCAAATTAGTGTTTAAAATTGCCTTTAACTCATTTCTTAACAGTGACTGCTTTTTGATAAGACTTGACTGCTGAATTTGACAGATTTGAAGAATGACAACAATAAAATCAACAAACGGCTCTCACAAATACAATACACCATGCTGCCTGGGTTGACTCAATATTCAAGTGGTCAAAACCTCAGTGTCACAAGATACTAACACAAGACGACCTTTGAGTCCTTTGCAATACTGCTGTTGTTTTCAAGACATCAAATTACCTGGAATACCTTTAGTTTGAAATTGTGAACTTTCCTCTAGAACAAGATCTAGTTTCCTGTTGGCCAGTAAAGGGCTACTTACTACAGCTGTTTCAAAAGTGATGAGTAGGTCGCGCTACAGGTGCTGCACCGCTGCAAACCGGACTTAAAATCCAAATTCATCACCCGCTTTCTTTTAAAATCAAAAAATGCTACTCACAATAGAGCTTGTTTACATGGGCATTCTATTAAAATTATCTGTGCATTCGTTCTACTTACACCCATTTCTTTCTAAAACAGACATAATATTTACCGAAAGTCTAGCTCGTAATTAAACTCAGCTCCTCTGCTTGGCATTTCATTTCTGCTACACGGAAATGCTACATTCTGCTAAACCCTGATCGTCGCTCACACACATAAGGACAGCTGTGGGCCTGACTATGGGTTAGGTTTTCACTCGCATCTCCCTTACCTCTTTAACTATCTCCAATTGTTAGTGCTAGGAAAAAATTGGGTAAAAGAGACAAGTAAAGGTCGTAGTGTACCCGACACTCCTGTAAGCCCTCAAGCCTGATGCTTAAATATGCCGATCCCTCACAACGAATTTGGGGTGTCTGTTGGACGCAGCCGTGCATCCCTTCTCCCTGAACAGATTCCCAAGGAGGACAAGATAGACAAATTCTGCAAGCCCACCCTGACACCAGGAAAGGCCGGGAGGGATACATAAAGGCCGGGCAGACTAAAAGAGAAGTAAGGCCCGGGGAAGTTCGCCGCCTACCTCCCCAGTCAGCCCTAGTGCTGGGGAAGCCGGGGGTCTGCGGCAGCCGCTCGGCGGGAATACGCCGCGGCGCATGCCGGGAGCCGCGCCCGCAGCACGCTGGGCCGCGTAGTTCCCTCGGGCCTCCTTGCTGGTGGCCAAAAGTGGCAGCCAGCTGCTCCTTTTTAAGGCACGCAAGGGGCCGCACTTGATCCGCCTGAGAAAAAGTCGGTAACCCCGAGCGGAGTGAGCTGGACCAAGGTCCCCCCTCCCTGTGGGAAGTGAGCTGGACCAAGGTCCCCCCTCCCTGTGGGAAGGGCAAAAGCAGGAAACCTGCCACTTTCCCTCTCAGGTCCCATTCAGACTCTAGGCGAAGAGGCGGCTCGGCCGTGCTTCCCCTTTAAGGAGGGGCGGGGCGCAGCCCGCCGTTTGGACCACCTCCGCACTCTCCCCCCAGCCGAGTGCTGGCCGACCAATAGTCCGGGTGGCGGAGGGAAGGCGGGAGAATGCGAACCCTTCTGTCCCGCGGTAGGGGCGGGGCCCAGGCCTTATTAGGAGTGAGTTCTGCGCAGGCGCAGCCGCAGGCGAAGGGGCGGGGGCGGTCCAGTGAGAGACTCTCCGACAGACGCGGAGGGCGACTGGGAGGAGTCGCAGGGGCTTGTCATGGGGTTCCGAGCAACCAGAAGGCATTGGTAGCATCTGGGGACCCCGCGGGGGCAGGAAGTGTCAACGTCCGAGTCCCCAAGGCCAGTTCGGCCAGGGGATCCCCGCTGCTCTAGTCCTGAGGAGGGAGGGGGCTCGGAGGGAGCCCTGATCTCGCCCCGCCCCTGGCTTGTTACCGCGGGGGCGGGGAGTGAGGGCTGCTTTGGGGGGAGTGGAGATCGGGGACTCGGCGGCGCCTTTCCGAGTGGCGGCCGGTGTCCCCGCGGCGGCGGCCGGGGCTGTTGCATGCGTGGCTGCTGGATGCGGAGGCGGCGGCGGCGGCGGCGGCGGCAGGATGTTAGGGCAGCAGCAGCAGCAGCAACTGTACTCGTCGGCCGCGCTCCTGACCGGCGAGCGGAGCCGGCTCCTCACCTGCTACGTGCAGGACTACCTCGAGTGTGTGGAGTCGCTACCCCACGACATGCAGAGGAACGTGTCCGTGCTGCGAGAGCTGGACAACAAGTACCAAGGTAGGGCGGCGGGCTGCCCGCGCGCGTCCCCCTCGCGGATCCGCCGGCCTCGGAGCCTGCCCGGGAAGCCCCGCTTTCCGTGTCCGTGACAGTCCCCCAGCGCGCCGGGGCGAGCGCCGTGGGGACGGCGAGGAGTACCCGAGACCGAGCTGCGGCCCTCCCTGGCCCGGTACGGTCGGCCGGACTTCTGGGGTCTCGAGTGGGGGTGGGGGCGCCCATCGGCCGCGCCGCAGACCCAGCGGCTGCAGCTGCTGTGGGAGGGAATCAGCCATTTTAAGCGAGCATTTGTTCCGGCGCTCGCCGTCCCCGTGCCGCACTCCGCCTGCCCCTGCGAGCGAGTGTGCGGGTGCCACGGGTCTGAGGGGCCTGGCAGTGGGCTGTCCCCTGGGGGCAGATGCCTTGGAACGTGAGGGGGAGGGGGCGGGAGGGCGGCGAAAGCGGGCTCCAGAGAGGTCTCTCACGGCGCTGCTCCCCGCGGCTGGGCTCCAGAGTGGAACAGTCAGTTCCCCTCTCCCGCCCCGAGGAAAGTTCCGGGCTCCCGGGCGCCTGATCCTTTCCTAGGCTCCCTCAGCCCAGTGGTTAAAGGGGAGGGGTCCCCTCGGCGGGAGGTGGAGAGGGGGTGTGTGTGGCGGGGAGGGCCCCGGGTCTCGGGGCGGGGCCTGAGGCCGTGACGTAGACGTGGGAGGGGCGCAGCCGCGCGCTACCGCTGGCCTCGAAAATGGCTGGTCGCTCGCTGGAAGTGTTTCGTTGGACCACATCAGCTGACTGGGAAGGGAGCTTGCCAGATCGTGGCGTTGGTTGGGCCCTAACAGAATCAGTGTTGGAGTTTGCCGTGTACTGTATTTGTTGTGATGTATCGACTCTTTCCTACTCAGTGAACCAGGACGGGGGCGGGGGTCAGTCGCTGACCCGAACTCAGCGTAAGACTACTGGCCTTGTGTCACTTCCGGGCCCCAGGAGGAAGTGGGTTGGTTGGCTGGGCAACCGCCTGGCGTCCCTTTACCCCTGGGTTCCTCCACCACCAAGTTTAAGTAATGAGGCCAGAATCGCCCTTTGTGGGCAGAAAAGGCAGGATGGGGAATCTTTGTTTCAGAGAGTGACGCTTATCATCCACCTTTCACTTGCTATTAGGAGGGGAGAAGTTCAAATGTGACGTTTTGCGTTTAACAACCCTAAGACAGACCTTAGATGTAACGTGGAGATAACCATAAGGGCATTAAAGAGAACTTCTTGGACCTGTTGTCTTTTTCTAGACACGCTAATTTTGTGACTTAAGGAATCTATCTCTGGGGTGACATTTTCTGGCCCATAGCATGTTGGAGCACTTGGGTGTCTCATTTTCAGTCTGTAAACTTGTTTTCCGAACCCATCTGAATGATAGGGCTCATCTTCGGGGAAATAGAATACCAATTCCTTGCTGTATGCCAGTCGCTGCCCCAGGTCCAGAATATATGAAGCAAAAGCTGGATAAATTAAAATTTGCAATATTTAACATTGCATTGGTTGTAGAATATTTTGTTCTAAAGCCAACTATTTCAAGAACACATCCTTGTTTTCAGAATACGAATATAAACTTTTTTCCTTCCCTCCCTTCCTTTCATCCTTCCTTTTGATTTTTAAAATTCGAGCTGTCCAATGTTACTTTCTACAGATACGGACCGCGTATATGAATGATAACCTAAAATGAGACATATGTGCTTAAGAATTAGAAATTGAATATATTTAGTTTATCGGATAACACTGATGTTTGTAAAGCTTACACATTTTTACATTTCTTAAAAGGCACATGTGTACCTTCACAAAAGTTACTCTGCTTTGAGTTGGGGGGAACTCTATAATTTGTTGACAGGGAAATACAATTTCTGATCATCTAAAATTGTTCTCAGTTGCTTTGGTAACATAAATAGTAGGTTTTACAAGAGTGGGAGATATCTAAGAGCTCTTAAGATTGTGATTAGTTTCAAGATTTATACAAAAACACTGATCTAGTTTTCACTTTATGCACGTGGTTACTAAGTTCAACTTTTACAGTTGTGTTTATTAGCTTTATATAATTTTGTTCTTAATTCAGATTTTATTTTTTTCGATAGTTCTTAAGTATCTTCTGGTTTGGGATCTAATGCTTATAACAGCTTTTAGTGATATAAATTATATACGCAATGAAATAAATTTCTCTCCCACCTATTTGGGACATTATAAGAAATTATAAAGAACTCATAAAATAGAGAAAAAAAATTTAAAGTTAATGTAGTTATTATGGAATGTGGTTCTTAGTTAACTTATTTTTGCTCCAGAGTTCTCATTCATAACTTCTTGGGTAAATAATCTTTGAACTCCAACCGAGAATTTGGCTCAGTGGTTCCGCTGCCCAAGTGCAAGGACCTGAGTTCGATCTCCGGTACCAAAAAAAAAAATCTTTGAACTAAAATCTAGTCCTTACGGTGCTTTCTATACACACTAGAGAAAGGCTTAAATTGTGAGGTCAGATGTACAGATCTAGCAGTGTTAAAATCTGAGGGTTTTACTTCTTAAATTTTATTTTCTTAACATGTAGAGCCAATCACTTCTTTGTGAGTTTGCTATGATTGAGAAAAACTTTACCGCGTAGAGGAGGCTGAGTAAATGTTAATTTCCTTTCTTCTCTCACTATATAATTAAGATGTCTTAAAAATGTGAATTTTTATCTCATGTACAGTATCTGTGCAAGTATGATACATAATTAACTCAGTTATTAAAAAATATTTGAATGACTTATTTTTAATCCTCAAAATATTTCTATGTTTCACAGGAAAATATATGATTTCTTTACATTTCTTGTAGGAAAATTAGGTTCTCAGGAAATCTACTTACATACCTAGCTGAGAAAATAGGATAGATATGAATATTGTTCAAAAGTATTATTGCAAATATGAATACCCTCCAGTGTGGTGGCACTTTGTCATGTATCCTGGGCTAGGCAGTTGTCTATCATAAAGGGTAAATAACTGCAATTTTAAGGTGGAGCTAATCTGTGTTGAATATTTGCTTTATGTTACCTTACTTGCCGATAGTGCCAGTGTATATATTTCACTTAACATTTCTGTTTTTTAGAATAATAATATTAGAATACAAAACAGTGGTATGGTATGCAGTAGTAATATTGCAATATAAAACAATGGTATGCCATGTGGTGTAATAAATTTGAGTTGATGTTTATTTTTCTACCTCTAATAGAAGAGAATTCTTTCAGATAGCATCAAATCTCATAAGAAATAGAACAGATTTTAATAAAAAATAGTCTTGAATAAATTTTTGGTGACATCTGAAACTGTATTTTCAAATTTTTGTATGCCTTCTAGTAACTCAGTCATTTTTATTTGATGGAAATAAGTGTCCCACTTGCTGTACAGCTAAGCAATTCTGAAAGCTTTGGAACCAACTGCTGAATTATCTACAAAGACAGAATGATCTAGTGCTGACTTTACTGTAATTTTGTTGTGGCCTGGTCGGTTGATGCCAGAAACAATGGACCTACTCTGGAAATAGTTTGATTTTCAGAATTTATCATACAATACTAGAATAAAAGAACCATTAAAACTAAGAAATGGGAGGCTAGAAGTTGCTGATGTCTACTTTAAGAATGAATCTCAAAAAAAAAAAGATGTTGAAGGATATGATGTGAAAGTGACTGTATCATAACTCTCTAAAGCCATCTAGTAAGTCATTGACTGAGCAGTAAGTTCTAGAAACACAGTTGGCAGTAGTGTATAGCTTTGTCCAGGAACCTTTTCAAATGTTATGGCTGGAGTCCAGCATGCAAATTTTATATATGGGGTTGTTTTGAAGTTCAAATGTATAGGTGATGAGACACTAGGTAGATTCTAAAGTGGAATGCAATATTCTTACTTATGTAAAATACTTTTGATTATTAGCCACATATCCTTTTTAATATGGGTTAGTAGTATTAATTTTTTATGTTTTTCTCAGTAGTTTACTTCTAAAATACTTTTATATTGGATAATATGGTGTTTGGGGAAAATGTTTTTAATGTGTACACACTGAAGGAGTGTGATTTCAAGCTTTGGGCTAATCTAACTTGAAAATCTTGTATGTGCTCATGCACAAAATGGTCTCATTTTTCTTTTCCTTTTTTAGAAACATTAAAGGAAATTGATGATGTCTATGAAAAATATAAGAAAGAAGATGATTTAAACCAGAAAAAACGCCTACAGCAGCATCTCCAGAGAGCACTGATAAATAGTCAAGAATTGGGAGATGAAAAAATTCAGATTGTCACACAGATGCTCGAATTGGTAGAAAATCGAGCAAGACAAATGGAGTTGCATTCACAGTGTCTCCAAGATCCTGCTGAAAGTGAACGAGCCTCAGATAAGGCAAAGATGGATTCTAGCCAACCAGAAAGATCTTCGAGAAGACCTCGCCGACAGCGAACCAGTGAAAGCCGGGATTTATGTCACATGACAAATGGGATTGAAGACTGTGATGATCAGCCACCTAAAGAAAAGAAATCCAAGTCAGCCAAGAAAAAGAAACGTTCTAAGGCTAAGCAAGAAAGAGAAGCTTCACCTGTTGAGTTTGCAATAGATCCCAATGAACCTACATACTGTTTATGTAACCAAGTGTCTTATGGGGAAATGATAGGCTGTGACAATGAACAGTGTCCTATCGAATGGTTTCACTTTTCATGTGTTTCACTTACATATAAACCAAAGGGGAAATGGTATTGCCCAAAATGCAGGGGAGATAATGAGAAAACAATGGACAAAAGTACTGAAAAGACAAAAAAAGAGAGAAGATCGAGGTAGTAAAGGGCATCTGTATTTTAAAGGGTTGTCTTTTATATAATTCATTTACTTTCAGAAAATGTTTTAGGACAAATGCATAAGACTATGCAATAATTTTTAATCATTAGTATTAATGGTATATTAAAAGTTGTTCTTTGTCTGTGACCTTAATTTTCTGCACTGAATTACCAAATATTTTAAACCAGGTAGTCTTCAGATCACCTGAAGAAAGGAGCAGGGAACAAGGAGAGGTGGTGTGAACATTATAAAAATTTCACAAACCATGCCTATTTCATTTCTACTTAAAACTCCAGTACTACTTTTTGGGTAAACACAAACATTTTGCTAGAATTTTGGTTCTATGTGCTTAAAAAAATTTAGATGTTCTTAGATTTCTCTATAAATATCAAGTTATCTTGGGTAATTTAAAATATGACCACTATTCTATTAAGAGCTTCTTTTTCCCTAGCCCCTTTTGTACATACACTTGTTAATCTCTAGTCTTCCAGAAATTTGAGAAACTAGAGATAGAATTATTTGGGATTCCATGTGGAATAACTTGCTCTTACTAGAGTATTTGCTGCTGTATTTTCCTTAGTAGCATTTTGATACACTGTTAGTAGCCCATTTGTAAATGCCTTGCTGCTTCTTCAAAATAGATACATTTAATCTAGTGTTTATTAAGGGAGTTGTTTTGTGTTTAAATTGGGACAGATAAGAGTAGTTAGGAAACCAAAAATGCTGCCATTGACTTATATTGGCAAAATTTAGGTTATATGGTATCATGGTTCAGAGTTGATCATTTTTCATGTATCTTCCTGTTTTCCATGTCACTCACTGCTGGGATGCTTAGCTGCAGGCCTCTCAGTGGAAAAAAGACATACTAATCTGTAAAATACTGCCTTTAGGTCAGACAGTTGCTTTAAATAGTTCTGCTAGGGGGTATATTTCATTTCTGTCCCAATCGGTGATTATACATTATTTTGAATAATAGTGTATTTACCTTCTTAACTTTCTGGTATTGGTGCTGTTTGATGTTTTTCATGTTTAATGAACTAATTTCATTATAACAATGAATTAGTAATGTATTTGTAAATCAAATTTTCCAAGATTCTAATATTTTAAGAGTAAGCATCTTGATGGATATTTGTCCATATGTTTGGAGCAATTTCTGGTTGCGGGGGTGGTCAGCAGATTAGTCCTTTAAATCTATGTATAACAGACTTTTATTCCTCATTTCTTCCTAATCTAATGATCTCAATTTTTTTTTTATTAACATTTGAAAAGTCCTGTCTCCTTATTTGGGGAAAAAATTGTTTTTTCTCTTCTAGCTCTCCTGTGTGACTTTCGGGTGTAACATTTCACCTTTTCTGAGTGTCAGGTCATTCTCCTATAAAATGAATTGGCTTATATATCTCCAGAGTTCTTTTGAAGTCTATAGTCTACATAACATTGAAGGATTTTAATAATTAAATGACTTTTACTCTTTCATTAATGTTGTCTCCATTGTGAGAAAGTTTAAAGATGAGCTTAGAGATGGATATATGGATAGCTAGGTTATGTCCTAAGGATATTTTAATTGATTCATAGAGTCAGTTGGTTATATTGCTTCTTAAATACTAGCATTGAGTAATAAATTATTTTACTGTAATTTTGTTCAGTTTAAAAAAAACTTTTTCTTGAGAATACAGCATTTTGTTTTTGGCCTTATTAACAGAATGGAGCTGATACCATTTAGCTGACACTTAAAAATACCAATTTGAGGAAAGCCCCAAAAGCCTTCAGATATGACTTATATAGAAGTCACTACTGGGTTGGGGATTTAGCTCAGTGGTTCAGCCACCTGCCCCACAAGTGCAAAGACCTGAGTTTGATCCCTGATACCAAAAAAAAGTCACTACTTTTTTGTATATAAATTTGCCTCAGCATATTGAGGGGGAGAAAAGTAAACTTCCTAATAGAAGTACCCAAGTTTAGGTTAGACTTAGGAAAACAAACCTAGAAAATGCAGAAAGGTATGTTCTCTTTAAGACCTATTATTTGAAACAGTTATTTTTATGAATTTCTTTTTGTTTTCTACATACCACATGAGAAATACAAGTCCTAGGTTTGCGCAACATTACTGGGATTTCTTTTGTTTAACATTCTAGATCTCATATTCTATTTCATCTTATGGTTACCAACTCAAACTGTGTACCAATAGTTCCCAAACTTAACTATTGGAATTACCTTGAGAGCTTCAAAAAACACTTGATACCTGAGTCCCAACCCTAGTAATTGTTATCTAATTCGTTTGAAATGGGGGTTAAGCATTAGAATTTTTTAATGATCCTCATTCTAACATACAGAGAAGTTTTGGAACCACTGCACAGTTTTGAAAATTACAGCCTATTGAAAACTCAATGTATTCTCAACATCCAAATTTGTGCAATTTTGCTGGGTGTGGTGGTGCATGACTCTAATCCCAGCCCTTGGGGGCTGGGGCAGGAAGATCAGCCTGGGATACATAGTCCAAGGCCAGTCTGAACTACATATCAAGATCCTCTCTCAAAATAATCCCTCTTCAAAGGAAAAAATCAGATTTGTAAAGCTCTGAAGCAAATATAAATGTTGATACACACAGGGAGGATTATACTTTGTCACCAGTTATATTTGAATACTCAATACTTGAGTGTTTTTGTGCACCAGGCACAAAATATGTTGGAAGTCTTATGCTTTTGCAGAAGAAAAAGCCCCTGCTCATGGACCATACATCCTAGTGGAAGAATCAGATGTATATAATACCGTGTAACTAAGTGTTGAAAGTAAAACAGTAAATGGAAAGTGAAAAGGGGGGACAAGTATTATAGTGATTAAAGAAACTCTAAGCATGTAATCAGAGCTGATAACAGAAATAAGGAAGCGAGGCAGGCAAATTTGGGAGGAGTAGAACAAGTTTGTCAATTTGATTAAAGTACCACATTAGAACATAATGTGAAAGGGCTAGAAAATAGAGGCTTCTTGGGAGCCACAGTGGACAATTTCTCAGCTGTTGAAGGATTTTGGCCATGGTCTGATTTACGTTTAGAAATCACTCTGTATACTGTGTACAAAATTTATTGTAGGCCTAATAGCTGGCAATCAGGAAATTTAGGAGATTCAGAAGTCCTTGCATCAAGAGTGCTGGTGGCTTAGTCTAGGGTTGTAACGGAAATGATGTCTAGTAGTGTCTGTCTACGTTTTTATAGACACAGCCAATAGGACTTTGGTCCAGGAATTGGAAAGCAAGGTAATGACAAGAATCACCCTTAAGTTTTGGGCCTGAGGGAGAAAAATTAAAAGATTTCTGTTTTGTACTTATGTTTGAGGTTCCTCTGATACCTAGGAACCAATGGGAAGTCCTGTGTATGACATATTGAGAGAGGGGACTGGAAGTAAACATTTGGAAAGTCTATAAATAGAGTTTGAAGTCAGGTGACTGGTTTAGTGCTTCTCAATTTTATGTGCCTCAGTTGCCTCAGTTTGTTCAATTGCAGATTCCAAATCAGCAGGTCTAATATGGGGCTTGAGAGCCTGCATTTTCAACAGGCTCCTCAGTGATGCTGATATCCACATTTTGAGTAGCAAACAAGTAGATCCAGAAGAAGGAGGAAAAGTGGGCCTGGAGTACTCTTAACATTCAAAATAGGGAGGAACCAGCAAAGGCCTTCTGAGAACTCAAATAAACCAGAAAAATAGTACACCAGAATCAAGGAGATGAAAGTGTTTCAGGAAGGGAGACATCCACTCATTCAACACTGTTCGAGCAGAAGGGAATTGAAGTAGTGCCAGCAATTGTATAAACATTGAAGCTTTGATGTGAAAAGTTGCAGCAGTGTTTTTATTCAGTTATTCAAATAGTTACACACCTATTTGCAAAGCATTATTTTAGGTACTGGGAACAAAACGGTGACTAAAATTTTTTTTAACCTAATGGTGCTTAGATTATTGGAGTTCATGGGGGTAAATGCACATAGTTTGCAAAATTTGGTACTGAGAAAATGAGATCATACTCTTCCAATATCTTCTACTTTCTCACTGACAAGATAAAGGGAGAAGTGTTGGAAGTCTAGGAGTTAGAGGGATATGTCACAAAAATGGGAAAGTGAATAGTCCAGGGATACCAGTTGGAACTATGGGTAAGCTGAAGATTTTAGTCATAACTTCATATGAGCTAATGACTCTATTGTCTGTGTATAGCTAGGGGAGAAAAGAAAGAAATACACAAAACAATTTAAGTGTTCAAAATTTCTCTACAGTAAGACAAATTACATCTTCAGATCCTCTTTGTTTTTTGAGACAAGGTCTCACTAGCCCAGGCTGGCCTTGAACTTGCAATGATCCTCCTACCTCAGCCTCCTGCTGGGATTACAGATGTGGGCCACTAGGCCCAGCTCATTGGTTGTCTTTATGTGCCTAGCAAGTAGCTTCCTATGAGAGCCCTGTCCTTATTACCCCTACCTGGAATGGAGAGGAGCAAGTCTCCAAGGAGCAGTTTGTATAAATAAGCTAGACAGCTCTTCTGCTCTTGCTGAACCATGCATTTACAGTTTGATGTGGTTCAAGATATATTTTAAGTAATGTATGTTATTTTGGAATTGCTTTTATTATGATTTCCTAATCTGTATACACCAATTAGAGAAGCTACAAACACCTTTAATTTAGGCAAGTGCTATAAACCAGGATTCCAGAGATCTGTGTCTATGAGTTTGGTCAGGTCATGTCCTTGTCCTGCAGTTTGTTCATATGGAAAATAAGTGATTTAATATATGGTTACATTAACTGTGACTATTATTCATGTCCCTGGACATTAGTCTGAGCCTGATGGTCACAAACGTACTACTTAAAATAATAGCTTTTAATTTATGTAGGTGGTAACTAGATTAAAGCAGAATTGTCTAAACTTCAAACTACAGAAAAATCTCAATGAATTTGGCCATTTCTGTGCATTCCAATATTTAAAAATATTACTGGATACTTTCTAAATTGTCTCATTTTTATGTAAATTTGTTTTGAAAAGGAAGTATATCACTTTGCAAATGGAAAATTGGTATCACTTGCTATGAATGGAACATTACCTTAGGATATTCTAGCTATGTAGTAGTGCCTGTGAAAACTGAACCCAGAGTCTACTCCCTGTTTATTAGGAGGTGTGCTTAGTAACTAATATTATGTAAGCGTGAAAGACAAACACCAAAGTAATCAAGTAGATTTAAAGAGATTGTCCATTTATGTATGTATGTATGTTTTGAGACAAGGTCTCACTATAGCCCAGGCTAGCCTCTGGCAATCCTTCTGCCTCAGCCTTTCAATTGCTGGAGCCACCACACCCAGCCAAAGAAATTTCTTGAATACTTCCTTACCATCCTACTCTGGGAAACACTTTAAGCAAGAGAAGGTTAATCACTGCAGTTTTCTATCATTATAAAACAAATATATTAATGTTTCTTAATTAAAAGATACCTAGCTATATGCAGATGGATGTCACCTCTTAATCAGTGTTTCTGTAAACCCCAAAACGAATTAACCAGCATTATACATATCAGTATAACAGTAATTGACATCTGACTCCACCAGAATTTCTAGTCTTGTCTATTTCTTATCTGAAGAATTTTTTAAAAAAGCCCCTCAATGCCTCTCTTTGCAAGTTAATATTTCTTGGGCTAGCCTTATACCCCTTCTGTTGGGTCCAGCATTCCAGATCTGAAGAAAATTCTGAGTTATCCAGATAACTTCCTCAGGTACCCATTTGCTAGTGGATTCTTAATTTAGCTGTTTTCATTATAAAAGCAAAATTTCCAACTTTTGTATGAATTGAAAACATGTCCATTATCTGCCATAAACCCTGAAGTATAGCAGTGTATTTTGTTCAGTATTTTGGATAGTTGTGTATACATAAGCACTATTTTAAGATTTTAAATTTTTTGGATAAAAGTTACCCTGCCTTCTTAAGTAGAGCTTTAAGTCCTTTGGCATATAGTAGGATATAAACAAATGCTGTCTTCACCCTTGTAACTCAGCAGTGTCTTACCATACAGTGATACCCTTCAGTCAGTCTTGCTCCAGCATGGAGGAACATTTGCCTCGGGCTGGTTTTTAAAATAAACATAGTTGTTTTTAATATTTTTTGTTCTTCTAAAACTGCCTAGTAGCTTGTATCTTTCTTTTAGTTTATTGTGTGTTGGAAAAGCATTTGGTTACGTTTGTATTTAGCTTAAGAAAAAATAGATTTTAAGAGAGGATCTATTATGTAAGCCTCAATATGTGGCTTTGTTTTTTTAAATTCATGGATTTTTTTCTCTTTTTCACTCCTTCCTTCCCTTTCCTTACCTGTTCTGTGTTCAGATACCAGTATTTTGCTATATACTTACTTTGAATAGCAAAATCTAATTACTTTGACCGGAGGCCTTAACTTATTTATATAGCACACTAATCTTAGCAACTTCCCACATAGAAGCACAGGTGTTAGAG